AATTACATGCTCTACTTGACTTATTTTGGTTCTTTCAAACTGGTCCCCTGGAGATTTCGTAATTTTAACTTTGAATTATTTATTTTCATATTTCTTTTGGTCCCATCCAATCCTTGTGGTCAGGGAGATATTTGCTTGAATCCAATCAGAGAAACATAAATGGGTCCACTACATATTGGTCTATGACTCTTTTATTACCAATGCTCTGATTATTGTGTCACTGACTACTGGGGGCTCCAGTTTGGGACTGACTTGGTTGTATGAATTTGATGGTCTTCCCAACTGGTAACGGTCCTGGGAATGACTTTTCCTTTCTAAATCACCCATTACAGAAATACCTTCATTAAAAGTACTTCTGAGAATCTCCAAAGTAAAACAAACAAAAAGTCTCAAAATCCAGAATATTAGCAGACACATAAAATTACATGATTATTGGGGCGCTTGGGTGGCGCAGTCGGTTAAGCGTCCGACTTCAGCCAGGTCACGATCTCGCGGTCCGTGAGTTCGAGCCCCGCGTCAGGCTCTGGGCTGATGGCTCAGAGCCTGGAGCCTGTTTCCGATTCTGTGTCTCCCTCTCTCTCTGCCCCTCCCCCGTTCATGCTGTCTCTCTCTGTCCCAAAAATAAATAAACGTTGAAAAAAAAATTTTTTTAATTACATGATTATTAAAGCCTCTTCTTGTCCAAATTCTACAATTTAAAGGGGGGAAAAAAGCTCTCCCAGCAATTTCTACTTATCCCACCCAGTGGATGTTACCCGGAGTTGACCTGCGACTGTGTTGCAATTTCTTCATTGTTCCAGGGGGATGTGGTTGCTTGGGAGAGACCTGGGACACTGAGGTGGGAACAAGGCTGTCCACAAAGATAGACTACAGGAGAGGCCAGGTGCCAGAAGCTGTTTTATTTCTAGGTAATAGAAAGTGACAGGGCCTAGGTGAGGGTGAGGCAGTGAGTACGTGGGATGCAAAATTTAAGAAGGTGCCTGCTCTCAGGGGCAGCCAGAGAGTGAATGCCTCCTTGAATTTGGTACCCAAGGAATCTGGCCCTGGAAAAAGGTGTTAACAAGGTCTGTGTCAAGCAGAAAACCAGCCACAAACCTGGGAATCTTGAAGCCGGGAGTGTAAGTTAGAGAAGCCAATCAAATCAAAAGGAGAGCTAGACAGAGAAATTCTCTGTGTTCTATTGTGTCCTATCTCTAATCTCAGGTACAAAAATCCAGGAGTTTCACAGGAATTGTAAAATCTCTCCCTGCTAATTCCTTGTTCTCCCAGGAGCACCCACAAAGAGGAAGGGACAATTCCAGGAGTCAGAATGGAGACTGCAGAAAAGAAATAGGTGTGAAACGGAGGGGGGAAAAAAAGGCCAGGTCAAAATGAATTATGCATGCAAAGACTTAGTCATGGTGTTCCTCCTACGCCAACAATCCCTCTGCTGAGCTAGGCATGGGTCTTTGATGGAGGCATCTTGCCAGGTGGCTTTAAAGCTGCTGGTTGTGCTTTGAGGGATGCTTTCACTCTCTTGGTAGTTACTGTTCTCTTTTGCACAGAGTCCAGGGTAGCTAGACCTATGTTTTTATTTCACAAAACGGAACTTAACTTGTAACTCAACTTAAATTTCTATTTCAAGAATCCATTCTGTTTGATAGCAGAAATATAGTTCAGTAGACTGCAGATAAGCATATTTCTGGTTTCTTTCATCATTTCTGGTAGACTCCATGAATTTAGAATTTTGTCCTTTCCCTTCTCTCTCCCCAGAGTGGCATCTAAGTTCTAGGGACATAGGGTGAAATGTTGGGTTCTTGGACGCTAATGGCCCTCCAGGCTGCCATTCATGGCTATGTCTATGACATTACTATCATCTTTGGTCCTGGAAACCTGTAGCTCCCTGACTGTGATGACTCTCCCAGAGCCATGTCTTCATCCTTCTTAGGGATTGGAAAATTGTTGGATGTGCCATTCTGGAGACTATGGGCACCGTGGAAGACTTGTCAGGGGGGAGGGGAGGCTGTATTAGACACATCTGGATGCCACTTCTACCTTTTTCTGTTTACCATGTCAACACCTGAGAAGTGAGCACAGGTCCCTCTGCTCTCAGATTCCCAACATTTGCCTGGGAATTCTATCAGTCATCATGACTCCTTCTCAACCCCTTCTCTTGGGACATCAGCCATCTCTTGGGACCACTCTCTCTTGCTCTCTTATTTGACTTCTCTCTTCAGCTTAGAGAATTACCTGACACTACATTGTCCAATATGATAGCCACTAGTCACATGTGGTTGCTAAGCTCTTGAAATGTGGCTAGTCCAAAATGAGATGTACTGAAGCGAATTTCAAATACTTAGTATGAAGAAAAGATCATAAAATATCTCATTATAGTTTATACATTGAAATGATATTTTGGATATGCTGAAATAGACAAGAGACAGTGTTATAATTAATATTACTTGTTTCTGTTTACTTTTTGAAAAAATGTGGCTACTAGAAAAATTTTAATTACATGATATTTGTTTTGAACAGAGCTCATGTAAAAAGTTTGAGGAAGTGTTATGGACTAAATTGTATGCTGCCTTTCCCCTCTCCCCAGTTTATCTGTTGAAGTCCTAATCCCCGATGTGACTGTATCTGGAGATAGAACCTTAAGGGAGGTAATTAATGTTTAATGAGGTCATGATGGTGGGGCCCTAATCCAGTAGGATTGGTGCCCGTATTAGAACAGGAAGAGGCACCAGGAAAGCACAAACAGAAAAAAGACCATGTGAGGACACACTGAGAAGGCATCAGTCTGTAAACCAGGAAGAGAGAACTCATCAGAAACCAACCCTGCCAGGCACCTTGATTTCGAATGTCCAGCTTCCAGAACTATGGGTAAATAGATTTCTGTTGTTTAAGCTACCCAATCCATGGAATTCTGTTATGTTGTTTAAGCCACCCAATCCATGGTATTCTATTAGTCAGCCTCAGCAGACTAATACAGCGAGAAAAACTCATTCCGATATCATGTATCCTTCCAAAATTAAATGGTTACAGCATTAATTTTAGCTTTAGATCCTCAAAACCCTTTCTCACAGCCAATTGGTTATGCCAAGAATTTTTAAAATCTAGTTTGAAACTCAAAAGCTGAGAGAAATGGACTCTTTAGTTCTGTGTTGTCTGTTTGTGACCTTTCTTCCCCCAAGGCCATAGAAACAGCTAATCTCTGCTGCCTGAAGTTGAGGAAAAGGTCACATAGCAAAAGGGAAATACAGAAAATGAAATATACATTGGTTAATATCAAAATATCAATCTGCTATAGCAGTTACTTTTTTTTCCTTTCAATCACAACTCGGGAGGATCTGATTTCATTTATTTGGTCTCTCATTAATTTGCTCTGTACTTATTGCCTACAGTTTATGTATTTTTTAGTATGAATAGCTTTCAGATAGCATTTGCATTAAAAATTTCAAATCTTCAATAATGAAAGATATTTTCTGTTAAAGGAATTGAAAGTATCATAGAAGCTGCATGGTAGTGGTGGAGAGAGGTGGTTAAAGGACTAAAATCCTGCTGTCCATCTCATTAGAGCTCATTTTGTTAGCTATGGAGGAGACCTTGTTACCCATCCCCAGAACAGATCCTGAAGTCCAATGATTTCTGACATAACACATACAACACACACAGGGCTGTGGTGGTCCCTGGGGGAAGCAGAAAGCCAAGTCTTGCACTTGGATGGACATGGCTGGCTTCTTCCATCCTTTGTACTTTTCTGATTCACCAGGCTTAAGTAGGCCTTACTGCTCATCTCACTGCACTATAAATGTCTGCTTGCTTCTCTGTGAACCTTCAGAAAGCAGGAAATCATAGGTTTCGTTTCTGAATATTCCTTACCCAATGCCTACCATATGATAGGTGTATAATAAAAGTTTTGGAAATGAAACAAAATGAATGCATGAATCCTACAAGTTCTGCCTACAGATCCTCACTTCAGGCCATCTCCTACCTCTTTTCTCTGCTGGCCTGGACACAGGTCAGGCATTCTCCTCCAGCTCCTTTCACCTTAACCAACCTCTCCTCTTCTTTATAAAAGTAAATTCTTTTAAAAACTTGTTTCATTACCCAAGAACTATATGACGATATTCTCAGTATAAAATAATAAAATAATACAAATAAAATTATTTATTTATTTTAAAGTTTATTTTTTTTATTTTGAGAGAGAGAGAGAGAGATCACGGATCACGAGCAGGTAGGGGAAGAGAGAGAGGAAGAGAGAGAATCCCAAGCAGACTCCATGTTGTTGGCACAGAGCCCAATGCAGGGCTCAATTTCATGAAACAGGAGATCATGACCTGAGCCAAAATAAAGAGTTGGATGCTTAACTGATTGAGCCACCCAGGTACCCCTTATTTATTTTTAATACAAAGAAAATTTAAATGCCCATCACCACTCCATAGCAATTCTACCGTCTATTGTTTAGTACTGTGGGAACAGCCTTCTAAAACTTTTCCCATGCATTTTTATATATGCAATGTATATCTACTAAAATAGATATATATGTGTGAGTATATTAATATGTGAATGCTAATGTATATTAAATATTAATATATGTTTAGCCTAAATGATTGTATACTATTTTGCAACTTACTTTTTCATCCCCACTTAATAAGTTGATATCCTTTTTTTTTTTTTTTTTTAACGTTTATTTTTTTGGGACAGAGAGAGACAGAGCATGAACGGGGGAGGGGCAGAGAGAGAGGGAGACACAGAATCAGATACAGGCTCCAGGCTCTGAGCCATCAGCCCAGAGCCCGACGCGGGGCTCGAACTCACGGACCGGGAGATCGTGACCTGGCTGAAGTCGGACGCTTAACCGACTGCGCCACCCAGGCGCCCCAAGTTGATATCCTTTTATGTGAGTGTACATTCATCCTCCTCATTCTTTTTTTAGTTGCTATAAAATATTCTATAGTGCAAGCCAAATACATTTAAAATTTATTTTTTTATTTTTATTTTTTATTTTTCACTGCCAGAAACAATGAAGCAATGAACATTGACCTGTATAGCTGCTTCTTTGGACACATGTGCAAATGTTTTTTTCTGATAAATTCTTAGAGGACGACTTGCTGAGTTAAAGATACATGCAGGTGCGAGGGACATTCCTGGGGAAGAGCCTTTCTTGGCCATTTACCACAGTGTTTCCTTACTTAAACACCAAATGGACTTACTAAACTGTACTAGGGCAGATGGCACAGCAAGACTTAGTCTGTTCCAGTCCAAAGAGATAATTTATGTAAATTACATGACCATAGACATTATATGATATCCTCTAACATCCCTTTGACATACCATGGCAATCTTCCTCCACCGCATAGCAGTATGGGAAGTGCCCTTCTAAGTCCTTTCCCATACATTTACTTCCTGTCTTAAGGATCTTTGCATGCCTGCTACTTTGTAATACCTCTGCTAATGAGTAGAGGAAGCTGCCTTCAGTACTCCAAATGAGGAAAGAAATGCTGTTACTGGATTCCATTCCTGTCTATCATCTTGTTCAAAAGGAGGGGAGTGAGTCAGATCAAGAGAATGAGTCACCAAGTCATAGCCAAGGTGATAAACCTCAAGACTTGCATCTTAATAGATATATTGCCAAACTACCCTCCAACAAGCCTGTATCAATTTGTACTCCCACTAATATTGAATGTGTCTAACATACTATCAATCTTTTAAATTATCATCTGGTGGGTGAAAAATGGTATCTTACTAGTGTAATATGTGTAATATGCATTTCTCTGATGACCAATGACATTCAGCATAATTTTACATAATTTTTGACCATCCATGTATCCTCTTCTCTGAATTATCTGTTCCTATCCACTGCTTCTTTTCTTTTTTTTTTTTAATTTTTTTAATGTTTACTTTTTTTGAGAGAGAGAGACAGAGTGCGAGTGGGGGAGGGGGAGAGAGAGAGGGAGACACAGAATCCGAAGCAGGCTCCAAGCTCTGAGTTGTCAGCATAGAGCTCAACGTGGGGCTCGAAGTCACGAATGGCGAGATCGTGATCTGAGCTGAAGTGGATGCTTAACTGACTGAGCCACCCAGGCGCCCCCATTGCTTATTTTCTAATTGATTCTGTATGTCTTCTTTATTGATTTGTATGAGTCAATTATATATTACGTATATAAATCTATCATCGTACATTGTTAATATTTTCTTTTAGCTTCTTTTGGTCTTTTGATTTTGTTTAAGGTATTGTTTTCATACAAAATTTTTATTTTATTTTATTTTATTTTTATTTATTTTTATTTTTTAAAGGTTTTATTTATCCTGAGAGAGAGAAAAAGAGCAAGGCAGGGGTAGAGAGAGGAGAGAGAGAAAGCAAAGAGATTGACACAGGGGGCTTGATCTCATGACCTGAGCTAAAATCAAGAGTCTGAGACTTAACCAGCTGAGCCACCCAGGTGCCCCCATACAAGAATTTTAAATTCTTATATAATTAAATGTATTAATCAACATTAATTCTTTATAGACTTTACAATTTTGCAATTTTAGCTTAAGAAGGCCAACTATAATCAAAGTTATTAACACATTCTTCAATATTTTCTTCTAACATTTTATTATATTTTAAATGTATTTTTAATTAAAATTCTAAAATAAAATTTAACTGAAAATTTAATTTCTGGTAATACGATAAAGTACATGTTAAGTAAAACCTTTCTCAGAATAGCACATGTAAAAATACAGTATAAAATATTAAAGCCTCAAACAAAAATCCAGTAAACATTTTTTATATGTTTGTCTGAGCCTGAGCTGGTGAGAAATTAAGAGAATTTTTCAGAGGCCAGGGAAAAAAGAAAGCAACAATCTGTAAAGTTAGGCAAAGCCCTGAGTATTTATGTGATCCCTAGTGGCCACCAGCCTAGGTTTTAATGAGTTCATTGTACCAGGGCAGATGAATAAAGACTGGGTCCTAACCAAGGTGGGAATTAGAATGAGCTAGAGCTTCAAAGATGACTCCATGGCTGAACTAGAAAAACCCCACCCAGCAGAAAGCATTAATGGTGATCTTTGCCAATCTTATCTGGGCTCTGGGAAGAGCAGAACAAAGAAGAAAAAGACTTAATTATAAGGCTACCTTACGATATGTTTAGAACTCAAATTCATATTAACTGTACATTCCTCAAAGCCTCAAGTCAGAAATGTAGTTGGTAGCATTCCTCAATAGCTAAAGGAAACAAATCCAAATCCTCTTCAAAAGAACAGTCATTAGAATTGAGGAGGGCACTTGTTGGGATGAGCACTGCGTGTTGTATGGAAACCAATTCGACAATAAATTATATTGCTAAATAATAAATAAATAAATAAATAATAAAAGAACTTCAACTCCACATATACATTTTCAAGGATTATGACTGCAGATATATGAAGAAATAGTAGAACTAATATACTATAGAGAAATTCAATGGCAGGTATAGATTAAGCACAGTTCAAGAGACAATTCGTGATGAATAATAAAGAATTAAACTCAGAAAAGAAGACAAAGAGAATGAAACTACAAAAGAAATATTAAGAGATATGGAGAACACTGAGGTAAAACTCCAACAAATATTTAACTGGAGTTCCAGGAAGAGATAACATAGATGAAGGGAGGAATAATACTATTTAAAGAGATAATGGCTGAAAATTTCTTGAAATTTGTAGACAAAATTTCTTCTTTGCCTCTAGTGATGAGAAACACAGATTCAGAAAACAGAACTACAAAAAGAATAAATAAAAAGAAATCGCCTAGCTGATTTTTTTGAATACCCAAATTTAATTTTTGAATACCCAAAGTAAGGAGACTATATTAGGAGCACCTAGAGAAAGAGACAGTGTATCTATTAAAGAACTATATTTAAACTGACAGGTTATTTTCCCACAGCAACAAAGGAAGTCAGAAGACAGTGGAATGGTACATTTAATGTGCTGAGAGAAGATAAATGTCAAACTGTACTATTGTATCCAGCAAAATAATCTTTCAAACGTGACGTTAGAATAAAGTTATTTTCTGACTAAAAAAAAATGAGCACTTTTTTTCTTTTATAGCAAACTTTTTTTTAAAAGATTTTCTAAGAGAGTGTACTTCAGGATGAGGGTAAATAAATACAGGAGGAAGTCTGAGTATAAGAAGAAATGGTGAGCAAAGAACATGGTAAACGTGGATAAATCTAAGCAAGCATTTACTGAATAAACCAATGATAATAAGGTTTACTTTGAGGGTTAAATAAGTCAAGCTAGACATTCTCACACAACATTAGTATGTATAATAAAAGAGTGGTAAAAGGGAGTTAAAACATTTTGAGGTCCTTTTATTTTCCTAAACATGGCTAATGATATTTATTATCTTCAGACATGAAGTTACATATGAATATTAAGATTTCTAAAGTAAGTGTATTAATTTTCTATTGCTACACAGCAAATCCCCACAAATTTAGCAGCTTAAAGTAATATATAATTCTATTTCACAGTTTCTACGGGTCAGGAGTCCAGGCATAGCTGAATCTGCTCAGGGTCTCACAAGGCTATTATCTCGTGCTGACCAGGCCTGGATTCTTATCTGGAGCTCAGTGTCTTCTTCCAAGCTCATTCAGGTTACTAGCAGAATTCAGTTTCTTGTGGTTGCAAGCCTGAGGGCTCAGCTACTAGGGCTACCCCTTGATAGGCAATTAACAACATGACTGCTACCTTTCAGGCCAGCAGGACAAAATCTGATACTTCGAATTTCCCTTTTCAAGAAGGGTCCAATCCCTTTTAAGGTTCTCCTGATTAGGCCAGGCCTACCCAGGATAATCTCCCTTTTGATCAACTCAAAGTCAACTAATATGGGACCTTAATATCTTAAAAGTTTCTTTACCTTTGTCATAAAATTTAATGAGGAGAGTAACATCCATCACATTCACAGTCACATCTGCACTCATAGAAAGGGAATTACAACCCACAAGATGAGAATTTTGGAGGCTATCTGAATTTGACCTACTTCAGTAACCATTAAAAAACTGAATTAGATTCTATAATTTCCAAATCACTAGAGGTGAAAAAAGGATAAGGGAAGAAAAAATTACAGTCAATTGAAACAAAGATAAGGGCGAAAACATTGAAAAGTGGGATAAAGAAAATATAAAATAAAATGATAAATAAATAACAGTCAATGTCAAGAAACTCTATTCTCCAGATGTAGACAAAGATTTGTCAAATGGAATTTAAAAAAAATTTTATCTCTGTATTATTAACAAGAAATACATTTCATCATAAGAGCATAGAAAGGTTGAAAGGTAAGAGAAGCAAACACTAACCAAATTGAGGTGGCTATATTAGAAATAGGCAAACTCAAGGTCAAGAAAAAAAAATACTACCAGAGATCAAATGGGTCATTGCTATAGAAAAAAACCTCAATCTACCAGCAAGATATGACAATTCTAAACTTGTCAGCACTTAATAAAATTGCTTCAACATACAGGATGCAAAAATTGTCAAGGGTACGAGCAGAAATGATCCTATCACTACTAGTTGGCAAGATGTTAACATTGCTCCCTCTTTGGTTAATAAATCAGGCAGACAAGATCTGAATAAACAATGATCAAACTTGGCCTAGTAGATACAGAATATTGTACATAAGTATTAAAGAATACACATTTTTTTCAAACATATGTGGAATATTTATAAAAAGTGACCACATAGAATATAAAGCATCTCAATAAATGTCCAAGAATCAGTATTTTTGGCCACAGTGAAATTAAGTTAGAAATAAATTTTAAAAAGAATTTAAAACTTCTATATATGTGTAAAGTAAGAAAAATACTTCTAAATAATTAATGGATTAAAAAATGTGTAATGGAAATTAGGAAGTATTTAAAGTAACTAATACAAGTAATGAGTAAAAAAATGTGTGGCACGTAGATAAAATGATACTTTGGGGAAAATTTATAGACTTCAATGCTTATATGGAAAAGAAAAAAATTGATAATAAATGAGACTGAGAATAAAAGAGAATTCACCATCAGCTATTATAAACAAACAACAAAAGCAACAGGAGACAAAGCAGAGAAAATATAATGTGGGAAATGATAAAGATAAAAACAGAAATTAATGAAGTAGAGAATAAATAATATACTACTTAGTTACATGTTATTTTCATATATTAGTAATACATTATTTAGATCTTCTTACTTGGTAAATATTGCTTAAGTAATATTACTTAGAAGTACATAATAAGTGTCACTTATTATATATTATATAGTATTTTTTCTATAGAAATGAAAGGCTAAAAACAAAAGCAAGGAATGAGTAACATTACTTCAGGTTAATGGTTATTTTTCTGGGGAAGGAGAGGGATGCAATCATTTAAGGGCATGTAGAGGTCTTCAATGGTATTGGTGGTGTTCTATGTCCTTAGCTGAGTGGAAGAGACATTGGTGACACTTCAAATTTTTACTTCTCTTCTTCTTTAAAATGTACGTATGTTATATAATCTCTCATATTGTGGTGTTTCACATTTTTTAAAGTTAAAAAATTTTGACAACATAGATAAAGCAAAAATCTTTTAACCAAGCCTCCTCCACAGGAGGATAAACTCATTAGTTTTATGTGTAG